AAGGGCTGGTTCTATTCACTTAGCAGTGTGTCGCAGTGAGCTTGTCGCAGGTATGACGCAGATATTTTTGATTTAGGCCAAATTTTGAAGTGTGCTCTGCGCTATGTTATTCCACGCCACAATGCAAGCGGTACAACCACGAACTAGCTAGGAAAGAAGCATTTGTTCTTTTAAAGAACAAAGAGGCTAAAACATATAAATACATCGAAATGGAGTCAAAATACACCCCTGTTCTAGAAGCCATGGTTCCAGAAGTTCTACCTGTGTGTGTTGCAGTGACAGCTACATGGTGCGCGTCAAGGCAGTGGTGATGACCAGAGACGAGTCCAGCGGCGGTTGGTTGGCGCAGGACGGCTGTCTGAGCAGGGTGGGGGTGTGCAGGCTGCTGCCCAACGAGCTTCAGGGACGGAACCGCTTCCTGATCCACGGAGAGCGGCTCAAAGACCGGCAGGTGGGTTCTACCTTCCTTCACCGGGGTCATGGTTCTGTTAAACATCTGGTTGGTCGGTGTTGGTTCTCCAGCAAATCCAGCCTCAGTTTGGAAAGAGAGGGAAGAAGGAGTTGAGCTTTTAAACTCTGATCAAAACATCAAGCTTAAGAATACACAAAGTAAAACAAAAAAGAAAATTAAGATCCACTAATTTATTTTCTGCTAAATAACCAGGAAATAGAAATTTCATGGTTTCAAACAATTCTTCTTTTATTTATTTATTTATTTATTTGTTCAAGAGGGAAGATCACGTATCCCTGTGTTGTATTACCAGTGTTGGGGAGTAACGGATTACATGTAACGATGTTACATAATTTAATTACAAAAACAGAGTAACTGTAATTCCTTACAGTTACAATTAGAAAATATGCAATTCAGTTACAGTTACTTCCGAAAATATTAAGAATGACCAATTTAGTAACATTTAAAAAAAATATATAAAGAAAAACCTTTGCGAAATATGTACAGTGAACCCTCGCTATAACGCAGTTCACTTTTCACAGTCTCGCTGCTTCACGGATTTGCATCATGCATTGTTAAACTTTATTGTCAAACATAATCGATGGTGGCATGTCGGTTTATAAGGAACTTTTGGCCCAGAAGAAAAAAGAGCGACAACAACTACCGATAGCTATTTTCTTCTCTCCAAAAAACACACCTGTACCGCAGGCTTTAGAAGAAAAAAACGCCACAGAGCAATCAGGATGCAGCGGCTCTGTCAAACAGCAGTGAAATACTGTACTGAACACGTCAGTCACTATTTATCCTACTGTACTTTGTATTTTTTTTCATAATCAGTTTTCATTTTCTCCAGTTCCAATCCGTCACGGCGGGGCGGTGCTGATCAAAGCAATATTAACTCTTCAGTTCGTATTGATGATTAAAATTATTACTTATTTATTGATAACTATATTATTTTACAGTACAGTACAGTAGTCATTTGTAAAAAAAAATAATAAAAAAACAGACAACAACAACGTTTATACCGTACTTTTATTTGTTTAACAAATGCTTGGGCCTGTAAAAAGTTTTTGTTCCTTGATTTCAATGTTGTATGGAGTATTTCATTGTATAATAACTTACCCCCGCGATAAACGAGGGTTCACTGTAATGATATTTTTATTGCTTCGCGCCCTGTATCGCCGTTTCCCGCTACGGCTCCCTGTCTCTATCATATTTGCCACTCTGATGATCCATCCTGTGCTGGTGGAGCCTCCTTGAGGAACAGCAAGTTCTCAAAAATTAAATGTTGAACATGGGTCAATACTCATTAAAGCCTTAAAGTAATCAAAAAGTAATCAAAAGTAATTAGTTACATTACTTTCTAAAAGTAATTGAAAAAGTTACACTACAATTACATTTTAAACAAGGTAACTTGTAACTGTAACGGATTACATTTTTAAAGTAACTTACCCAACACTGTGTATTACTATGGGAAAGTTTCGCAGGGGTAAGTTTGGAGAACAGAGAAAAACAATTTGCTCCACCAATGTTCAAAGTTAATATCATGGCTTATGGCATAACATACATTTATGTATAAGTTGACAATTAGGAACAAATGCAAATCCATTTCTCAATACGTGTACTTGTGCGTTCTCATGTTCTCGTG